GTCTGGCTTTTCTGTGCATTCTGGGGATCCAAACTCAGATCCTCATGCTTGCACACCATGAGCACTTTATACCCAGTGGGCTGTCTTCCCAACCCTAGAACAATGCTTTTAAATGGCCTTTTCAGGCTGGGTGTCATCGTGGTGCATGCCTAGAATCCCCACATTTGGGAGGCAGAGACCTCAAGTTCTCAGTTAGTCTGGCCCACATAGTAAGACTCCATCTCAAAAAATAAAAAATTAAAAAAAAAAAAGCGAACAAGAGTCAAGTTCAGCCTTAGCTGCATAGGTCAAAGTGAACCTGGGCTATTTGAGATCCCACCTCAAAAATAATAATATAAATAAATACCGCTAAAAGAGAGTTCTAGGCCAGGCAGGGCTAATGGTAAGATGGTCCCAAAAACAAAACAACCACAAAACTCAATAAATAAAAGAATTTAAAAAAAAAAATGATTGCTTTTACAGTCAATAAGCACTGGTGTGACCTTTGGCTCTCTCAAAATGGACTCTTCCCTGGAGGCTACAGGGACTCAGAGTGACAAAATCTCACAGACGTGGGGTTACTAGAACAGGAAGTAACATGGATCGAAGGCACAAGTCTGAGGAGAGTACAGTGTTAACCAATCTCAGGACTGAGCCTCTGCCCCAAGGGGCTCCTGCCCTCTCCAGTCCATGTAGCTGCTCCCCTAACTCTTATCATTAGTGTCCCGCCTTTGAAGCGACACTTGCACCCTCAGCTCCAACCAGCTCTCTCCCACCCTCCAACTCTGCATCTGAACTGTTGGGCACACTCCTCTACGGATGGAATGTCATGAGTCCCCTCCCCCAACAACCACTCTCCCTAACACAATGCTGTAAGAAACTTCCTTTTAACCCATTAACAAGGTCCAAAATGACACAGCGCCGCCACACTATACACCCTCTGCATTCACTGAAGACCCAACAATACATAGTGACAGAAACATGTTTGCAGAATGCACCCTCCAAAATTGAGCTGCAGAATAAATACCCTGTGACCCAGGAATTTGCGCTTCATGTGACTGCATGTACAGACCAGACGGGTGCAATGATCAGACAGGGCTGTGGAGCCCCACAGACCCAATGAAGGGTGAGAACTCGGGGGAGTTAAGCTGGGAGCAGCTGACTCTTGAAAATATAATTAGGATCTGGAGAGATGGCTCAGAGAGCAACATCTCACACTGCTCTGGGAGAAGGCCCAAGTTCGGTTCCCAACACCCACCTGTAAATCCAGTTCCTTCTGGCCTCCAAGGGCACTTGCACTCATGTACACATACTCCCATGCATACATACACTCATGCATTTAATTAAAAATAGTAAAATCTAAAAGAGATTAAAAAAAATAAGATGGGAGTAGTGGTGAATGTCTTTAATCCCAGCACTCAAAAGGCAGAGGCAGGTAGATTTCTGAGTTCCAGACCAGCCAAGGGCTATATAGTGAGACCTTGTCTCAAAAAGGAAGAAGGAGGAAGAGGAGGAAAAATAATATAAAATACATGTAGAATGCCTCTCCCTTGAAGAATTTACAAGGTGTGATGGTTAGTTCTAATTATCAGTGTAGCACAACTTAGAACCCCTGAAAAGAAAGTCTCAAAAATTGTCTAAATTAGGTTGGCCTGATGGAATATCTGGAGAATAGTCTGGAATGTTAATTGATGTGGTAATTATTATATGATGACCCAGCCCACTGTGGGCGGATACCATTCCCTAGGCAGAGGATCCTGAACTGTCTATGTAGAGGGGGTAGGAGGCTGAACACCAACATGAATGCATGCATTCATTCTCTCTACTTGGAACTAACTAATTGCTTCAGGTTCTTATGGCTTTGACATTCCAAAATGATAGACTGTAACTTGGCATTGTAGGCTGAATAAATTCTTCCTTAAGTTGCTTTTTGAGGGTATATTATCCCAGCAACAGAGATAAAACTAAAACACAAGGATTTAGACAATGTATAGAAAGCACTTGTCTTTTGTTTGTTTTTTAAGATAGGGTCTTGTTGTGTAACCAGGGTTGCACTCAAACTTACAATCCTCCTTCCTCAGCTTCCCTACTGGTGAGATCACAGGTGCACCCTACCACATCAGGGTATACGTTCAACCAGAACATTTACATACAGCCAAAATATTCGCATATCTCCAACTATTAGCAGTAATCATCTCTCTGTGTGCTGGACTGTGACATGGGGAGATTTGCTTGATACTGAACCTGAACACAGGGCCTTGGAATGATTAATACTGTCAACAGGATCTTGAACCACCTCGGAGAGAAACGTCTGGAAATTTCTGAGGGAGTTTCTAGATTGAGTTAATTGAGGTTAATTAATTAATTGGGAAGACCCATCCTACCCATGGGTAGTATCTTGCCATGGCCTTGGATCCCAGGCTGAAGAAAGGGAGAAAATCAAGCTGAGAACCAGCATTCATCTCTTCGAATCCTGACTGCAGACAGAATGCCACCAGCTGCCTCAGGCCCCAGCCGGCACCCTTTCCTCACCACTCTAGACTGTACCCTGGAACAGGAAGCCCGGATAAAGCCTCCTCCCTTACGTCGCTTCTGTCAGAGCAAAGTAGTTAACACAGGCCTCGTGCGCGGGGCAAGAGCTCTGCCATTGAGCGATAGCCCCAGTTTTAGGACTGTGGTTCTTAATTGTTGTTTCAACACACTTCCCATTAGTAAACAAACAAACAAAAACCTTGAGTCATCTTTGATTCACTTTTTCCTTATCAGCTTTGAGGAGCCATTAGCAATTCTTGTGACTCTGGGGGTTTTGTTGCCAATAAGGTGGCTTCCACTGTACCCATCACTCCCAGGTGCTCCCAGGGTGTTTTCCAGGAGCCTTCTGTTCCTGTTGCACACCTCAAAGTTTCTACTTCTGCTGATGACCTGTGACCCTCGCTTCCCACAGCCACGTGGCCACCCTCCTAAGTGTCTCTTGTTCAAACTCCTGGCAGTCAAGCTGGAGGCTCACTGCTCCCCTCTCTGCTGTCTTGGTGTTCTCTTCCTGTCTCCTGAAACCTTCCCACCTCAGACTCTGAAACCCCATGGAGAAGAACCCCTCACTCAATCCGGGGGACACTCCCTCTTTCTATGCTCACAGGGAGCTGTTTCCCTCAGGCATATGTCACATCCTGTCCCGACATGGAATTATATCCCCACCACAGATTTGACCTCAGGCCTTCAAATTAAATAGATCAACACAGACATTCTGCAGGAGGCTCTGGAAATGAAAGCCCGTTCTTGTTTAAGCAAGACATGAGTTGTCGCAGAAACCTCACTGTCCCCCCAGGTCAGTAAGTCTCTTGAGCTGCAAGACAGATTGCAAATCCTCGTGATGGTTTTCTGGAAGGGCCTGTCAGGGCCTGTAGCCAAACCCTACCTTTCACACTGTTATCAGGCAGACTGACAGTCGCTCATTTCCTACAGGTGAGCTTTGGAGCTACCGCCCAAGGCATAATTATAAGGTTCTGTACTTTAGTCACATCAGGAGGGACCTGGGAAATCCCTTCGGGAATGCAGCAGGGCTCCCCAGCCTCCCTAGCATGTTTATAAAGTAGAGCTTCAGAGCCAGAAGTCATCCTGCATCTTATGCAAGAAAAAAAAAAAAAAAAAACCTCCAACACCTAGGGGCCAGTCTTCTTATTTCACACAGAGGTTCATGTTATGTCCAAGTTTAGGCCGTAAACACACGAGGTATGGATGGATTTAATCAAATGCAATTTGCCAGATGTGCTAGACTCCAAGTAGTGGTTATTAATAAAGAAAGGTGGCTAGTTTGGAACTTAGAAGAACTGTAAGACACTCAGGAAATCTTTTCAGAGAGAATTAGACATCACTTCCATGATGAAAAAGCATTAAGACTGCATAGTGGCTGGGCAGTGGTGGCACCCACCTTTAATCCCAGCACTGGGGGAGGGGCAGAGTCAGGCGGATCTCTGTGAGTTTGAGGTCTACAGAGCGAGTTTGAGGTCTACAGAGCGAGTTTGAGGTCTACAGAGCGAGTTCCAGGTCAGGCTCCAAAGCTACACAGAGAAACCCCATTTCAGAGTGGGGGAAAAAAAAAAAGACTGCATAGTGGATTCAATTAGGTCTTAGTTTGCAGGGTAGACTTAAGAAAGCAGCAGAAGGGCTGGAGAGATGGCTCAGGGGTTAAGAGCACTGGCTGCTCTTCCAGAGGTCTTGAGTTCAATTCCCAGCACCCACATGGTGGCTCATGACCATCTATAATAAGATCTGATGCCCTCTTCTGGTGTGCAGGCATGCATGCAGAACACTCATATATAAAATATAAATAAATAAAAATTAAAAAAAAAAAGAAAGCAGCAGAAATCTAATTTTTTAAACCATATGCAAAACTCACTGGATGATTAAAGGAGTCAACTCCTCTAACTTTCTTTGGCAAATTTATTATCAGGATAAACAGTTTTCTTATATTAGATTTCTTTAGTATTTACCTGGCCCAGCGGATCTTGGACTAGGGGAAAGGAAAGAGGGCAGAGTCTTGGGTGGATGTCTCTGTCCCTCCCTACCTGGCCTGCCACAGGAAGCAAGCTGGGACAGGGCTCCCTGCGGCCCAAATCCCTGCCCTGCTGTCACCCTGAATCGCGAGTCCTGGTCCAGGAACACCTACTGCACTTCGCAGGACGGAGAAAAACTAAACCCCATTGTTTGAGACCAGACGTAAGGACTTCACCCGGCCGGAGCACGGCTTCCGTGCCGGTAATCGGATTCCTGGCGGGCAGCCGGGGAGGGGCCCGGCCATCCATCTGCTGTCCACACCGATCCGCAGGCTCACAGGAAGCCTGTTTCTCCTGGGACCCGGTAGGCAGACCATGCCGCGCCCTGGCCTGGCCCAGAAGGACCCCAGAATCTAAGGCAGTCCTGGGCGTGGATGTCCAGCCGCGGGAAATCCGAGAGGGGAGCACGGGCTTTCAGTGACCAGAGGAGACTGTGCCCCGACGGGACCCACGGCGCCTAGTCCTTACCATCTCCTTGCGCAACAGCGCCAGCGCAGCGTCCAGGTTAGGGGGCTTGGTCCGCGTCCCCGAAGCCCTCGTCCCGCCGCCGCCCGCGCCCCCTCGGCTCAGGTCGTCCTGGATGCGCGACTTCTGCGCGTACAGCCGCTCCAGGTGCCGCCAGCCGCCCGCCGCGCCGCCCGCCGCCGAGTGCAACAGCCCGCTCAGGCTTTTGGGTAGCGGCGGCAGCCCGTCTACCCGCAGCCCCCGGGCCGTGCCCGCCGACCCTGCCCCGCTCATCTCGCCGCGGCGCCAACCAACACAGGCGCGCGCAGCTCAGCCGAGGTCCCCGGAGCCCCGCGGGTCCCCACCCACTTCCCGCCCGCCCGAGGCCCGCCCGCTGCCCGGCCCCCTGGTCTCCGCCCCTCCTCGGGGCCCGCCCCTCTCCTCGGCTCCCTGCTGCTCTGAGGCGGCTCCCTGAAGGCCAGCTGGCCTCCAGCTCCATCCCCACCCATCTGCGCCCCGGACCAACCACCTCGGGACACCTTAAGTCTCAGCTCCGTGAACCCCCTCATGCAGTCAGTCCCCTCCCTTCTTTATCACATCTCCAGCGGGTCTCCACCTCCCTATATTCCACTTTCCAGTCCTACTCTAGCCCTGTGCACCTCACCTCCAGCTGGTCATCTCCCTTCCCCTCTGAACCCCACTTCCAGGCCCAGGCCCACCCGACCAGCGCTGCTCCCACCCCCCATTCTGCACCCCAAACCCTAGTGGTCTTCTCCACTCCAGACAGGCTCCTGACTGGATGAGTCTAGCCTTGCGGGCTTAACTCTGACCAGCCATTGAAACAGCTTCTATCAACCAAGGGGGCCCAGTTCCAGCGCCCAACCCCGGGAATGCCTGCGCCTCAGCGTGAGCATGACGACCCAGAGTGCTGGCCCCAGCCACAACAGCACACAGTGCTCATTCACAGCGGCTTGTTTGCCGCCTCTGTGGATGTCAAGGTTTCCTGAACTTCAGTAGTCAAGAAGAGTACCGATCTTGTTTTGTTCACTCTTTTAAAGAAATGGACCAACTTGTCTTTCAGCCCAGCCAAGAACACTAAAGTAATTCTAAATAGAAATGTCAAGGAATAACGACCCTGTTCCACCTGGTGGAAAGAGAGAACCGACTCCTGCAAGTTGTGATCTGACTTACACGCACCACCGTGACATGTGTACACAGCATACACCCTAAAATCAGTAAGTGGAAAAAATGAAAAGTGAAGTGTCGGGGAGTTAGAGAGGGAGGTTGAATCTCAGGAACTCTTTACCAACTTCAGCAAAAGTAAGTAAAAGTAGTACACCTTAAAGAAAAGAGAAATGGCCGGGCGGTGGTGGTACACGTCTATTCCCAGCACTCGGGAGGTACAGTCAGGCGGATCTCTGTGAGTTTGAGGCCAGCCTGGTCTACAGAGTGAGATCCAGTACAGGCACCAAAGCTACACAGAGAAACCTTGTCTGGGGCGGGGGCGGGGGGGGGGGGGGGGTAGGGCCGGGGTGGGGGCAGATATTGAAATGAGTCAGGAACAGGTTTTGCCCTTCCTGGAAGACTCAAACGTTAGCGTTAGCAAAAGATACCCACTGGCTCAGATTCAAGATGAGGAAGTCAGAGCTCTGTTCAATAGCAGAGAAACCTAGGGAGCCAGTATTGAGAACTTTCATGCCCATGGCTACTGAGTTTAGTTTTAAAGGGACTGAATGATTCTGAGTTAATTCAGTAGGAGCATAATGTTTCAGGCGCTTCAGATGCCTGCTGTAAAAGCACCTTCTAGCTCTGGGGGCTTTCTGCCGCTGTACATGGAGCCCACCCCAAAATCAACCTGGGAAGTTGATGTTAGACCCAGCCAGACAGTGAGAAGCTGTAGGTTAGGCAGTGAGATCTAAGGGCAGGCACCCTGGAGACCACCTACCCACCTGCCCACAATTTCCCAGGCGTTCAGCGTCTCACCTTCCTAAACCCTAGGCGGTCCTCCATCATCCACCTGTTAAGCAATGGAGAGTCTGAGATTGCCTGTGTGGGAGGGAGGGAGGGAGGGAGGAGGAGAGGGGTGGAAAACAGTAGACCTGCCTTTCACAAGCTGGCCTGGATTCTTTTTCACCTGCCACCTTGCTGCCTCTCTAGAAGACCTAACAGAATGGTCAAGTGAGTGGATAGAGCAAGAGGAAGCATTGCAAAGCATCTGAGGCCCTGAAGTCATCTTAAAGTACATCCTTCCGCGGAAGGAGGATGCTGAAGGAATGAAGCCAGTTAGAAAACAGCCTAGGGACCTTTGTGTCAGGACAGCCTGGCCAGTGCCAACCACAGGGTTTGAAAGGCCCTACCTTCTGGTATGTACTCAAAGTAGTGAACATATTAAAATCCCCGTCAGCAAATAACACCCCAAGATGCACAGACATCACTACAGAACTAATTCAATACCGATAAGGACTGCGTGAATAAACCAGACACAATTGTGCAACAGTCAACGAAATATTTTGACACCCATGGGAAGTGCCAGCACTTGCTTGCTTTGTTTATTTATTTATTTAGCCGTGCCAGGGATTAAATACTGCTTGTGCCTGCTGGAAAGGTGCTCCACTGCTGAACTGTGCCATCAGGCCTCGTGTGTGTGTGTGTGTGTGTGTGTGTGTGTGTGTGTGACAGAAGCCGGGGAATCCATTGTCAGGTGTCTTCCACCATGTCTATTTTATTTTTGTGTGTGTGCACATGTGGAGGTCAGAGGACAACTTTCGGGAAAGCCACTGTGTGGATACCGGGGTCAAACTAAGGTCACCGGGCTGGCTATCAAACATTTTTACCTCCACCTTTTCTGAGACAGGGCCTCTCGCTGAACCTGGGGCTTGCCCAATCAGCTAGACCGACTGGCCAGCAAGCTCCAGGGGTCCTCCTGTCTCTCTTCCCAGTGCTGGGTTCATGGGTGCCTTCCAACACAGATCTTTACATGGGTGTTGAGGAACCCCGAATCAGGTCCTCAAGCTTCTGTGACAAGCACTTTCCGGACTGAGCTTTCTCCCTAGCCTTCTCCTGGTACCTGCTTTTTAACGTTCATGCTTATGAAAGAAGGGGGATATTAAAGCAACTTCTGACAGTACTGGAATATGCAGTCTTGGCTTTCATCTGATATGCTGTCTCTGTCTGCTGGAGCTACTCTCACCAAATACCTCAGACTTAGTTATTTATTAACAACCAAGTTTACCGCTCCTGGTTCTGAGGCTGGGGATTCTAAGATCAAGGCTCCTAGAGAGCCCAAGCATCACACAGTGTCACACAAACAGCCTTCTGTCTGTCCTCACAGGGTGGAGGGGCGCTCCCTGGAGCCTTTCATGAGGACACTAATCCCATTCATGAGGTTCCACCCTCACAACTTAGTCACTCTCAGCAGCCAGTCTATTCTGCTCAAGTACCAGAGCCCTCTGCCCCTGAGGCCGTCAGAGTGGCCATTCTCCTCTCCTGGAGCAGCCAGAGTACGCACCTCCCAGGGTCCTTACAACCAGGTCACAGAACCTTGAGCCCTACAGCTGTCTGGCCGGACATCGTTTGCCACCTCTTTGCCTCCTCACTCTCCTCTAGACACCAACAGCTCACAGTTTCTTGCTCGGGGAGGCGGGGGTGTGAGAAAGGGTCCAGCTGTATTTGACAAGTGCTGAGCAGTTCCAGGCTTCCTCCTGCACCGCGCTGTGAGCTGGCTCCTTTCAAAGCTTAAACCCATGTGAAGTCTGGTTCGATGCTTCACACTTCCGAACAACAGTGAGCTTTAATCCAGCTACAGTTTAATCCCTTTGCAGGGAAGTCACACAAAGGAGCAATAGCCCACACCCACAGTCTTAAAACCTACCAAGGCTGAATATAGGCATCATTGGCATTCTCCATAGTGATTGCCGCCATTTTTTATTTGCCTTATTGAGTCCTAACTGGGCAAAGCTATCTGAACCCTTATTGTCTTGTTTTTGTCGGAGACAGAATCTTACATTGCAATTAAGCCCGCCTAGAGTTCACTGTGTGGCTCAGGATAGCCTTGAACTCATGCACACCCTCTCACCTCAGCCCCTTGATAGTGCTGGCATGGCACTGTCACACCCTGAACTTTGACTCTTCACTGACTTTCACACCTATCTTCTCTTGAATTCTTGCCCTCTGAATTAATGAAGTCATCATTTATGGTGACAGTGACAGTGGCCACATTGGCTGCTCCGAGGCTCGCTGTGCTCTGTGGTGTGTTTTGCAGAGGCCTCTGTGTGTCACATTCTCTCTTTCCTCCTTGAGGTCTGTCCAGTGATTCCCATTGGTACTTGATGAAATGAAGCTGAGAGAGCAGGTATTCCCATGCAAGGCACCTCCAAAGTCATCAATGGAAATGATAAACAGGACCGGATCAAGGACAGAACCATGTGCCAGAACCTGTGCTCCAGGGTGGCGGCAATCTGTTGACTTATATTTTTGAGTATATTAGTTGTCAATCGACTGTGGACGAGGGTTAAAGAATGGTGCCCCAGTTGAACCATCCAAAGTGTTAGTGACTAACCAGGAGACACAGCTGAGTCCTGAGATGTGGCTGGTCCTAGCTGGGATGTGCTGTACAAGATACATGGTGGTCACCAAGTAGAGAGTGTAAGATGTCTCACTAACACCTTTTTATACTGATGGCATGTTCAAAATATTGTTGGATATTCTCAAAATATATTTTCATCTCATCTGCTTTTTTTTTTTATTGAAATGGGTTCAATCCCTGGTAAGGAGGGCTAGTAAGCTGTGAATGGGGGTGGGGCTCATGTAGCGTCCTTGTAGGAGCCAAAGCTGTGCATGGGAGTAGGAAGGATACTTTACAGAGCTTGCCACGAGTGTGGCAGGTTGCATTCAGAGATATGAGAATTATCCTCAGACTCCACCTATTTACATTCTCCTTTTAAAATCCTGAATGAATGAGAGTGGAGAGTCCCATACAAAATCAAAGTTATTCAGCGGACACAAGGCCAGCCTTTGAAAAGTCCACTCACCAGCTCACTCACTATGTCCAAAAGTGCTTTCGATACTTGGGAAGCCCTGTTCAGATAACAACAGCTTTGCAGAAACTGAAAGCTTGGAGATCCCCACCAGGCATCACTCAGTTTCAGTGAACACCAACCAGGTTCTGGGGACAAACCTCCCCAAGCAGAAAGCAGAGCGAGGATGAAGTTCCCAGCACCCACCCACAGTGGAGGCACGTGGACGCTTCCAGCATCCATGCGCTTGGAATTCGCACACCGAGGGAATTGGGTTGTGAATAGAACCGGAAGACTAGACAGAGTTGATTCAGACAC